AAGTGGGCTACAATACTTGGATCTATGATAAAGTGGGCCACAATACTTGGATCTATGATAAAGAGGGACACAATAGTTGGATCTATGATTAAAAGGACCACAATATTTGGATCTATAATAAAGTGGGCTACAATATTTGGATCTATAATAAAGTGGGCCTAAATAACTGCATGTGAAACAAAGTTGACCACAATTCCGGATTCTGTGGACAACGATCTTGGACTATATAATAAAGTGGACCACAATTCAGGATTCTATGATAAAGTGGACCACAATCAAGGACTTTACAATAAAGTGGGCCCCAATCTAGGACTCTATGATAAAGTGGGCCCCAATCTAGGACTCTATGATAAAGTGGGCCCCAATCAAGGGCTCTATGATAAAGTGGGCCCCAATCAAGGACTCTATGATAAAGTGGGCCCCAATCTAGGACTCTATGATAAAGTGGGCCCCAATCAAGGGCTCTATGATACAGTGGGCCCCAATCAAGGACTCTATGATAAAGTGGGCCCCAATCTAGGACTCTATGATAAAGTGGGCCCCAATCAAGGACTCTATGATACAGTGGGCCCAAATCAAGGACTCTATGATACAGTGGGCCCCAATCAAGGACTCTATGATAAAGTGGGCCCCAATCAAGGACTCTATGATAAAGTGGGCCCCAATCAAGGACTCTATGATAAAGTGGGCATCAGTTAATGAAAGTATAAGGTAAACACAATGCATGGATGTACACTTGAACTGAAGAAAACTTTAATCAAATGTCATCAAACTCTTTTATATGGCACATGTTTCTTCTTAACCCTGCTACACATGGACTTCTGCAAGGCATATGCAGCACTTCATCTGCACTGAGCCACCGCTGTCATACAGCGGTAATACTGCTGTGTGCGGCAATACACAACAAACAAGCAACACATCTGCACTGTTTTCCTGATTCTCGGAGAACTTACACTGCACATCCAGTGTCGCAAAAGTTGAAAAGGGTGACACCATAGCCTCATTTTCAGCTCTGCACTCTATCCGTCTGCCTTCATCATCCTTGGTAGCATTGATGGTGATAATTCCTACAGAATCTACCCGCTTATCATTTACTTTTGGAATGCTTCTGGAATAGATCATCTCCGTCAAACGCTGCCCATCCATGTGCCAGGTGATGGTTGCAGAAGGTTTGCCGTTGTTGGCACGACATGAGATATTGGCCAGGCGCCCAACGACCACTGCAACCCTCAACCCATTCTCTATCTGGGGCCTGTCAGGAGGTACTGTTGTAATCAGAGAGAACTTGTGATCAAGCAGAAAAGAACAGTCTACATCTATGGTCAATCATTCATGCATTTAGTCTGACTGGTCATTAGAGAACTTGTGATCAGGCAGAATGCCCCAAGTAGTCACTGATTCAATGGATGTTACAAGTGGAAGATTCACCAGTCAGTCTATAGGTGTTTGTGTAGCTGATTCAATACATGTTACAAGTGGAAGATTCACCAGTCAGTCTATAGGTGTTTGTGTAGCTGATTCAATACATGTTACAAGTGGAAGATTCACCAGTCAGTCTATAGGTGTTTGTGTAGCTGATTCAATACATGTTACAAGTGGAAGATTCACCAGTCATTCTATAGGTGTTTGTGTAGTTGTCAATACATGTTACAAGTGGAAGATTCACCAGTCAGTCTGTAGGTGTTTGTGTAGCTGATTCAATACATGTTACAAGTGGAAGATTCACCAGTCAGTCTATAGGTGTTTGTGTAGTTGATTCAATACATGTTACAAGTGGAAGATTCACCAGTCAGTCTATAGGTGTTTGTGTAGTTGATTCAATACATGTTACAAGTGGAAGATTCACCAGTCAGTCTATAGGTGTTTGTGTAGCTGATTCAATACATGTTACAAGTGGAAGATTCACCAGTCAGTCTATAGGTGTTTGTGTAGTTGATTCAATACATGTTACAAGTGGAAGATTCACCAGTCATTCTATAGGTGTTTGTGTAGCTGATTCAATACATGTTACAAGTGGAAGATTCACCAGTCAGTCTATAGGTGTTTGTGTAGCTGATTCAATACATGTTACAAGTGGAAGATTCCCCAGTCAGTCTATAGGTGTTTGTGTAGTTGATTCAATACATGTTACAAGTGGAAGATTCACCAGTCATTCTATAGGTGTTTGTGTAGCTGATTCAATACATGTTACAAGTGGAAGATTCACCAGTCATTCTATAGGTGTTTGTGTAGTTGATTTAATACATGTTACAAGTGGAAGATTCACCAGTCAGTCTGTAGGTGTTTGTGTAGCTGATTCAATACATGTTACAAGTGGAAGATTCACCAGTCATTCTATAGGTGTTTGTGTAGTTGATTCAATACATGTTACAAGTGGAAGATTCCCCAGTCAGCCTATAGGTGTTTGTGTAGTTGATTCAATACATGTTACAAGTGGAAGATTCACCAGTCAGTCTATAGGTGTTTGTGTAGTTGATTCAATACATGTTACAAGTGGAAGATTCACCAGTCAGCCTATAGGTGTTTGTGTAGCTGATTCAATACATGTTACAAGTGGAAGATTCACCAGTCAGCCTAGAGGTGTTTGTGTAGTTGATTCAATACATGTTACAAGTGGAAGATTCCCCAGTCAGCCTATAGGTGTTTGTGTAGCTGATTCAATACATGTTACAAGTGGAAGATTCACCAGTCAGTCTATAGGTGTTTGTGTAGTTGATTCAATACATGTTACAAGTGGAAGATTCACCAGTCAGTCTATAGGTGTTTGTGTAGTTGATTCAATACATGTTACAAGTGGAAGATTCACCAGTCAGTCTATAGGTGTTTGTGTAGCTGATTCAATACATGTTACAAGTGGAAGATTCACCAGTCAGTCTGTAGGTGTTTGTGTAGCTGATTCAATACATGTTACAAGTGGAAGATTCCCCAGTCAGTCTATAGGTGTTTGTGTAGTTGATTCAATACATGTTACAAGTGGAAGATTCACCAGTCAGTCTATAGGTGTTTGTGTAGTTGATTCAATACATGTTACAAGTGGAAGATTCACCGGTCAGTCTATAGGTGTTTGTGTAGTTGATTCAATACATGTTACAAGTGGAAGATTCACCAGTCAGTCTATAGGTGTTTGTGTAGTTGATTCAATACATGTTACAAGTGGAAGATTCACCAGTCAGTCTGTAGGTGTTTGTGTAGCTGATTCAATACATGTTACAAGTGGAAGATTCACCAGTCAGTCTATAGGTGTTTGTGTAGTTGTCAATACATGTTACAAGTGGAAGATTCACCAGTCAGTCTATAGGTGTTTGTGTAGCTGATTCAATACATGTTACAAGTGGAAGATTCACCAGTCATTCTATAGGTGTTTGTGTAGCTGATTCAATACATGTTACAAGTGGAAGATTCACCAGTCAGTCTATAGGTGTTTGTGTAGTTGATTCAATACATGTTACAAGTGGAAGATTCACCAGTCATTCTATAGGTGTTTGTGTAGCTGATTCAATACATGTTACAAGTGGAAGATTCACCAGTCAGTCTGTAGGTGTTTGTGTAGCTGATTCAATACATGTTACAAGTGGAAGATTCCCCAGTCAGTCTATAGGTGTTTGTGTAGTTGATTCAATACATGTTACAAGTGGAAGATTCACCAGTCAGTCTATAGGTGTTTGTGTAGTTGATTCAATACATGTTACAAGTGGAAGATTCACCGGTCAGTCTATAGGTGTTTGTGTAGTTGATTCAATACATGTTACAAGTGGAAGATTCACCGGTCAGTCTATAGGTGTTTGTGTAGTTGATTCAATACATGTTACAAGTGGAAGATTCACCAGTCAGTCTATAGGTGTTTGTGTAGTTGATTCAATACATGTTACAAGTGGAAGATTCACCAGTCAGTCTGTAGGTGTTTGTGTAGCTGATTCAATACATGTTACAAGTGGAAGATTCACCAGTCAGTCTATAGGTGTTTGTGTAGTTGTCAATACATGTTACAAGTGGAAGATTCACCAGTCAGTCTATAGGTGTTTGTGTAGCTGATTCAATACATGTTACAAGTGGAAGATTCCCCAGTCAGTCTATAGGTGTTTGTGTAGCTGATTCAATACATGTTACAAGTGGAAGATTCCACAGTCAGTCTATAGGTGTTTGTGTAGTTGATTCAATACATGTTACAAGTGGAAGATTCCCCAGTCAGTCTATAGGTGTTTGTGTAGCTGATTCAATACATGTTACAAGTGGAAGATTCCACAGTCAGTCTATAGGTGTTTGTGTAGCTGATTCAATACATGTTACAAGTGGAAGATTCACCAGTCAGTCTATAGGTGTTTGTGTAGTTGATTCAATACATGTTACAAGTGGAAGATTCCCCAGTCAGCCTATAGGCGTTTGATATAAATTACTGTGCAGGTTAGGATTTTAAAAAAAATTGTTTCATTGATATTATAGCTTTTACAGTTAAATAAATATTGCTTTAAATTCTCAAAGAAAAAGGTGTAACTCATTGGGAAAAAGGTGAAACATACACAACACGTTTAGTTTTGCTGTACGACTGCGTATCCCCTGGACATTCTCTGTGGCGCCGACTTGGCACTGGTACTCAGCATCATCCTCCAGGTGGACTTCCGTTATCTTCAGGTTGTGCTCACCTGCAGGTGAGATATCATGCATACTCACAATGTTGGGCATTAACAGTAGAAACACACATGATCTTCATCTAATAGTCCTCTACAGGAGACATTAAAACAATAATTGCTTTTTTTACATGCTTTTTGTGCTAAAATAGTAGTAGTTGCAATAGCCCATAAGTGTTGATAATACTCTTCATATATTTATCAAGTTGTACAAAACCTACTGATATGCCCGTGTCTCACATATTTGATCTCGATATCCCACTGCCCTTGTCTCACCTATTTGATCCCAATATCCCACTGCTAGTGTCTCACCTACTGATCCTGATATCCCACTGCTAGTGTCTCACCTATTTGATGCCGATATCCCACTGCTAGTGTCTCACCTATTTGATCCCGATATCCCACTGCTACTGTCTCACCTATTTGATCCCGATATCCCACTGCTAGTGTCTCACCTATTTGATCCCGATATCCCTAGTTGAGTGTCTCACCTATTTGATCCCGATATCCCACTGCTAATGTCTCACATATTTGGTCCTGATATCCCACTGCTAGTGTCTCACCTATTTGATCCCGATATCCCACTGCTAGTGTCTCACCTATTTGATCCCGATATACCACTACGAGTGTCTCACCTAACGATCCTGATATACCACTGCTAGTGTCTCACCTATTTGATCTCGATATCCCACTGCTAGTGTCTCACCTATTTGATCGCGATATCCCACTGCTAGTGTCTCACCTATTTGATGCCGATATCCCACTGCTAGTGTCTCACCTATTTGATCCCGATATCCCACTGCTAGTGTCTCACCTATTTGATCCCGATATCCCTAGTTGAGTGTCTCACCTATTTGATCCTGATATCCCACTGCTAATGTCTCACATATTTGGTCCTGATATCCCACTGCTAGTGTCTCACCTATTTGATCCCGATATCCCACTGCTAGTGTCTCACCTATTTGATCCCGATATACCACTACGAGTGTCTCACCTAACGATCCTGATATACCACTGCTAGTGTCTCACCTATTTGATCTCGATATCCCACTGCTAGTGTCTCACCTATTTGATCGCGATATCCCACTGCTAGTGTCTCACCTATTTGATGCCGATATCCCACTGCTAGTGTCTCACCTATTTGATCCCGATATCCCACTGCTAGTGTCTCACCTATTTGATCCCGATATCCCTAGTTGAGTGTCTCACCTATTTGATCCTGATATCCCACTGCTAATGTCTCACATATTTGGTCCTGATATCCCACTGCTAGTGTCTCACCTATTTGATCCCGATATCCCACTGCTAGTGTCTCACCTATTTGATCCCGATATACCACTACGAGTGTCTCACCTAACGATCCTGATATACCACTGCTAGTGTCTCACCTATTTGATCTCGATATCCCACTGCTAGTGTCTCACCTATTTGATCGCGATATCCCACTGCTAGTGTCTCACCTATTTGATCTCAATATCCCACTGCCAGTATCTCACCTATTTGATTTCAATATTCCAGTGTCTCACCTATTGGTCCTGATATCCCACGTGTGTATCACCGATTGATCCCGATATACCACTAAGAGTGTCTCACCTAACAATCCTGATATACCCCGGCTATTGTCTCACTTTTTGGTCCTGATATCCCACTGCTAGTGTGTCAACTATTGGTCCTGATATACCACTGCTAGTGTCTCACCTACTGATCCTGATATCCCACTATGAGTGTCTCACCTATTGATCATGATATACCACTGCGAGTGTCTCACCTTTTGGTCCTGATATACCACTGCTAGTGTCTCACCTATTGATCCTGATATCCCACAATGAGTGTCTCACCTATTGATCCTGATATACCACTACAAGTGTCTCACCTTTTGGTCCTGATATACCACTGCTAGTGTCTCACCTAATGATCCTGATATCCCACTACGAGTGTCTCACCTATTGATCCTGATATACCACTGCTAGTGTCTCACCTATTGATCCTGATATACCACTGCTAGTGTCTCACCTATTAATCCTGATATACCACTGCTAGTGTCTCACCTATTGATCCTGATATACCACTGCTAGTGTCTCACCTACTTATCCTGATATCCCACTGCAAGTGTCTAACCTATTGATCCTGATATCCCACTACGAGTGTCTCACCTATTGATCCTTATATACCACTACGAGTATCTTACCTTTTGGTCCTGATATACCACTGCTAGTGTCTTACCTATTTGATCCCGATATCCCACTGCTTGTGTCTCACCTATTGATCCTGATATACCACTTCTAGTGTGTCACCTACTTATCCTGATATCCCACTGCTAGTGTCACACCTATTTGATCCCAATATCCCACTGCTAGTGTCTCACCTATTTGATCCTGATATCTCACTGCTAGTGTCTCACCTATTTGATCCTGATATCCCACGGCTAGTGTCTCATCTATCTGATCCCGATATCCCACTGCTAGTGTCTCACCTATTGGTCCTGATATACCACTGCTTCTGTCTCACCTATTGATCCTGATATACCACTATGAGTGTCTCACCTATTGGTCCTGATATACCACTGCTAGTGTCTCACCTATTGATCATGAAGTCCCACTGGTAATGTTTCCTCTATTGCCCTGTTTGCTTGTTTAACTATTTTTGTTAGTGATTGGCTTACCAATAGTCTCCGACCCCACTGGTGTTTGTCCGCCAATCATCTGATACCGAGGGAATCCTGGTAGATTTCTCTCCATCCCGAGAGCAAAGCTGTCCCTTGTCCACTGAAGGCCACCCACCATGTTGGCCACTTTACACTTCAGTATTGCCGTGCTTCCTTCAATCGCACTCGTGTCTTGGGGTTCAATGATAAACCTCTGTTGGGCCATCACCCCTGAAAGTAGATGGGGACAACTATACAAAGTGTTGATGTCTTGCATGCTCTCAATTGACCATCACACCTATGTGATTAACAGTTTATCAAATTTGGTGAAAGCAGTGTTGTGAAATTGTGATGTGATGAAACGAAAGCCATGTCTGATTCCAATCAGACAGTTGATCTGCACATTACATGCACAAAGCACCTACTTGGCTCCCCAAAAACAATAAACATGCATCTAGCATGCATCAGATCCTAGATATTACCTCACAAATACAAATGTTCTGAAATCAACAAAGTATAGAACAGTTCATGTGAGATATTCTGGTCATGAATGTGAAATGTAGGTGTGGTCATATGATACAATACAAACTGATGACATAATCTCACACTGTTCACCTCAGAATTTACTCTGCTGCTGATAAAACTTGTATCTTATTTCCCCCAGTAATGAGCAAAGCCCATCCAGTTGGCAGAGCTGAGAATGTAGCCTCCTTGTTTACACAGTAAGCAAAGTCCCAGAAGATCCATCATCTCAAGGGACCAATTACCTCTGTGCCAGTGACATAATGAATGATTGTCAGATAGTGACAGTGCCACATCTATGTGGCTTAGGCAGCATCCAGTGTTATGACACAACACTTTCTTCCCTGCAGGACAATGTGTAACACCTCCCATTTAATACAGCAGCCTACAGTGTACACCCCCCCTTCAATACACTAGGCTGCAGTGTACACCTCCCCTTCAATACAGCAGCCTACAGTGTACACCTCCCCTTCAATACAGTAGCCTACAGTGTACACCTCCCCTTCAATACAGTAGGCTGCAGTGTACACCTCCCCTTCAATACACTAGGCTGAAGTGTACACCTCCCCTTCAATACAGCAGCCTACAGTGTACACCTCCCCTTCAATACAGTAGCCTACAGTGTACACCTCCCCTTCAATACAGTAGGCTGCAGTGTACACCTCCCCTTCAATACACTAGGCTGAAGTGTACACCTCCCCTTCAATACAGTAGGCTGCAGTGTACACCTCCCCTTCAATACACTAGGCTGAAGTGTACACCTCCCCTTCAATACAGTAGCCTACAGTGTACACCTCCCCTTCAATACAGCAGCCTACAGTGTACACCTCCCCTTCAATACAGTAGGCTGCAGTGTACACCTCCCCTTCAATACACTAGGCTGAAGTGTACACCTCCCCTTCAATACAGTAGGCTGCAGTGTACACCTCCCCTTCAATACAGCAGCCTACAGTGTACACCTCCCCTTCAATACAGTAGCCTACAGTGTACACCTCCCCTTCAATACAGTAGGCTGCAGTGTATACCTCCCCTTTAATACAGCAGCCTACAGTGTACACCTCCCCTTTAATACAGCAGCCTACAGTGTACACCTCCCCTTCAATACAGCAGCCTACAGTGTACACCTCCCCTTCAATACAGCAGCCTACAGTGTACACCTCCCCTTCAATACAGCAGCCTACAGTGTACACCTCCCCTTCAATACAGCAGCCTACAGTGTACACCTCCCCTTCAATATAGCAGCCTACAGTGTACACCTCCCCTTCAATACAGCAGCCTACAGTGTACACCTCCCCTTCAATACAGCAGCCTACAGTGTACACCTCCCCTTCAATATAGCAGCCTACAGTGTACACCTCCCCTTCAATACAGTAGCCTACAGTGTACACCTCCCCTTCAATATAGCAGCCTACAGTGTACACCTCCCCTTCAATACAGCAGCCTACAGTGTACACCTCCCCTTGAATACAGTAGGCTGAAGTGTACACCTCCCCTTCAATACAATATGCTACGTATTCACCTCCCCTTCAATACAATAGGCTGCAGTGTACACCTCCCCTTCAATACAGCAACCTACAGTGTACACCTCCCCTTCAATACAGCAGCCTACAGTGTACACCTCCCCTTCAATACACTAGGCTGAAGTGTACACCTCCCCTTCAATACACTAGGCTGCAGTGTACACCTCCCCTTCAATACACTAGGCTGCAGTGTACACCTCCCCTTCAATACACTAGGCTGAAGTGTACACCTCCCCTTCAATACAGTAGGCTGCAGTGTACACCTCCCCTTCAATACACTAGGCTGCAGTGTACACCTCCCCTTCAATACAGTAGGCTGAAGTGTACACCTCCCCTTCAATACAGCAGCCTACAGTGTACACCTCCCCTTCAATACAGTAGCCTGAAGTGTACACCCCCCCTTCAATACAGTTGGCTGAAGTGTACACCTCCCCTTCAATCCAATAGGCTGCAGTATTCACCTCCCCTTCAATACAGCAGCCTACAGTGTACACCTCCCCTTCAATACAGTAGGCTGAAGTGTACACCTCCCCTTCAATACAGTAGGCTGAAGTGTACACCTCCCCTTCAATACACTAGGCTGCAGTGTACACCTCCCCTTCAATACACTAGGCTGCAGTGTACACCTCCCCTTCAATACAGTAGGCTGCAGTGTACACCTCCCCTTCAATACAGTAGGCTGCAGTGTACACCTCCCCTTCAATACATTAGGCTGAGTGTACACCTCCCCTTCAATACAGTAGGCTGCAGTGTACACCTCCCCTTCAATACATTAGGCTGAGTGTACACCTCCCCTTCAATACAGTAGGCTGCAGTGTACACCTCCCCTTCAATACAGCAGCCTACAGTGTACACCTCCCCTTCAATACAGCAGCCTACAGTGTACACCTCCCCTTCAATACAGTAGGCTGAAGTGTACACCTCCCCTTGAATACAGTAGGCTGAAGTGTACACCTCCCCTTGAATACAGTAGGCTGCAGTGTACACCTCCCCTTCAATACAGTAGGCTGCAGTGTACACCTCCCCTTCAATACAGCAGCCTACAGTGTACACCTCCCCTTCAATACACTAGGCTGCAGTGTACACCTCCCCTTCAATACACTAGGCTGCAGTGTACACCTCCCCTTCAATACACTAGGCTGCAGTGCACACCTCCCCTTCAATAGAGTAGGCTGCAGTGTACACCTCCCCTTCAATACAGTAGGCTGAAGTGTACACCTCCCCTTCAATACAGTAGGCTGAAGTGTACACCTCCCCTTCAATACAGTTGGCTGAAGTGTACTAGTGGAGCTCTTACCACATCAACTCTCTCACATACATCATACAATTTTACCTTCTCTGAGAGGTTGCAAGATATTCCTTCACCACCATTCCTTAAAATGGATTAGTTAAATATATAACATTTTATATTCCTCCATTGTCAAATAGTTCCACAACTTCATCATGCTTGTTCCAGCAATGAAACATGATGGGCTGGTTGAAGGCATAGCCTCAGACTCCATGGTTGTCTACAAGCTTCTACATGTTTACATTTCACAATTCTCTGCTCCATCTGATGTTATTTCAAATACTGCCTGCATCCACTACTGAGTACGCCTGGCACTGGTGTAATGTTTATATACCAGCACCAAGCCGCTGCCGGGCAGCCCAACATCTGTAAGTCTCGGACTAGACTGCCATCAATGCATACAGGATCAGACAGAGTAATTGGAAAATGACACAAAACAGTAGTCATTTTCTCATCAAATATGTTCATCACAAGAACAGGGCATTCCTGGTCAGGCCCAAATGTCAGAGGGGAGATAATCGGTGCTGCTCTTCATGACAAACTGAGCAGAGACAAGTGAGAGCACCCTGATTGGAAATCAATGAGAATTATTGTAGAAAACTCTTTTATCAGAATCAGAGTCCACAGGAAGTGACAAGGACCGACTTGGCTCCTTCCACCTGCAATGCCAGCTACATTACATACGAGGCCTACCAAGCAGGGGCCACCGAGGGCCTTCCTTCACTCACAGCCAATGGTCTAGTCTACTTTCCACCAGTGTTTCAGCATTTATTTTCAATCTTGTCTTAAAGTCTTACCACAAGTGATACAAGGAAAATGGGAAAAAGTTAATGGATTGATTCTATACTTGCAATTCACTAGAATAGATTACAACAAATAAATGGAGTTTTCTTCTGCTGGCGCCTGTTAAATCATTTGTGCTGAGCTAAGTATAGAAGAAACTAATCAAGGACATGGGGAAAGTAAGATCAACTCCTCATGTGTGAGAACTTAATCAAATTTTGCCTGCTTGCATAATCAATATTTTCCATGTAAGTTTATACGTACAATATAAATGTGAGAATTCCAATACTTCAAATACCCTGCTTGCACAAACTGAATTTCAAATACCGATTGATCACCAGATTAACTTGCTTGCCTTGTCACAGTGTTGCATAATGAGGAACGTAACACTACCCTGCACTGACATCTGCCGACATCTGCCAACATGCCCTGACATCCGCCAACATGCCCTGACATCCTCCAACATGACCTGACATCTGCCAACATGACCTGACATCCGCCAATATACCCTGACATCTGCCAACATGACCTGACATCTGCCAACATGACCTGACATCTGCCAACATGACCTGACATCTGCCAACATGCCCTGACATCTGTCCACATGCCTTGACATCCACCAACATGACCTGACATCTGCCAACATGACCTGACATCTGCTAACATGACCTGACATCTGCCAACATACCCTGACATCCGCCAACATGACCTGACATCCACCAACATGACCTGACATCTGCCAACATGACCTGACATCCGCCAACATACCCTGACATCCGCCAACATGACCTGACATCCGCCAACATTCCCTGACATCCACCAACATACCCTGACATCCGCCAACATGACCTGACATCTGCCAACATACCCTGACATCTGCCAACATGCCCTGACATCTGCCAACATGACCTGACATCCACCAACATACCCTGACATCTGCCAACATACCCTGACATCCGCCAACATACCCTGACATCCGCCAACATGACCTGACATCCGCCAACATGACCTGACATCTGCCAACATGACCTGACATCCACCAACATGACCTGACATCTGCTAACATGACCTGACATCCGCCAACATGACCTGACATCTGCCAACATGCCCTGACATCC